ATATATTCACCCATAAATCATACTAAGATCAAAATTCAAATATTTACAACAACATGATTGATTTCAACAAAAAACCAAAATCCAATAAAATTATAATAATTGAAATAATCAAAATAAAAAAAAATAAATAGTAAATCTAAATTAATTAAAACCAAAATTCACTAAAATTATGATATTGAATACATCAAAATCAAAAGTTAATTAATAATTTCAATATTAAAGAAAAATAAAAACCTAAAACTTACTTAAAATCCAAAACAAAATAAACACCTCACATTTCACATTAAAATCCACCAATCCTAGCCCAAACTAATGTCATCTTAGCACATATCCAACTCATAACCAAGCCCAAATCTCTAACCCAAATTTAAAGTCCACTAAATTCAAAAGCCCAAATCAATCTCAAAACACTCAACACCTCATCCATGCCAAGCATTGGCTCATGACAAGCCAAATTTCCACTAAAGTCCAATACCATGCCACTTAGCCATCAAACTTCTCATTCCAAAGCTACCTCAAAGCTCATGTAAGTCATGTCAAGCCTCAAGCCAAATCCAAGCCCAAAACCAACCCCATGAAAAATCACATCCAAAACCACCACATCCTAAGATGAGTCAAGTCCAACCCAAGGCATTCAGGTGACCAAAAATTTAAGCTCATGACCATGCCCAAAATGGCCATGACCAATTCTCACTCCCTCTTCCCAGCTCATGCATTCAGGTGACCAAAAATTTAAGCTCATGACCATGACCAATTCTCACTCCCTCTTCCCAGCTCATTTGCTCCATAATCCACTTCCTCTTCCAAAAAAAAAAAAAAAAAAAAAAAAAAAATCGTGACACGTCTCCTCTCTCCAAACGTCTCCTCTCTCCAAAGCTCTCCCTATCTCTAGTTCTCTCTCCCAAACCCTTTCTCTCTATTGGTATTGGCAAAAACAAAATTCAACCAAAATAAGGCAACAATCATTCTCCCCTCATCTCCAAACGAAGGAAATATTACGTAT